TTATTCACTGTCCAGCTTTCGCATCCATATGAGGCTATTGAAAATACCATGGCTTGGGTCAGGCGCACCTTAGTCCTCAAGCTGACATCTCTACTCTTCAATACTTTCAAAAGTTCCTGTGCAGCAGATTTGCCCAATGCAATACGTCGTCTGATCTTTTGACTGCTGCTTCCGTGAATGGTGATAGTTGATCCAAGAAGAATGAACATACTAGACCTTAAAATTAGCATTAGATTCTGTATTTTCATTTGACGGGCAAGTAGCACATGCTCAGAGCTGTCTGGCGGGCTGCCTACAGAGGCGCTACTGTTGGGCCTGAGGAACAATCTCGCTCAGCTTGAGGCCAACTGCCTGGAACATGTTCTGCTCTATCAGGTTCTGAGGATAGCATGGTCCTAGGTGAGGAGCCACAAAGAACTCTGTCAGACTGCCCCTTCTAAGATGTAATCAAGCATGAAAGGCTGGTGACTTTGAATGAAAATCCAAGAGGAAGTACTGAGTCACCACTGTGAAACTTGGGGGCAAAGAGGAGGGACTATTTGAGCCGCAGGAACAAACTGGGCAAAATAAATTTGACATTGGGGCCTGTCAACCTAGAGGATGTCTCACCTACCCCCCAACCCCACCTTACCCTACCCAAATGAAGCCCACATTCATTCCATCCTTGTAGGAGAAAAGAAGGTTTCCTTAAATTTAGCATGAGTTAGGAGCAACAGGACGGTTACTTAAAGACTAGACAATGGAAATGAGTAAGCCCGGGGCTTTGCCCAGACTCTCTCTACTCTTCCTATACAAACTGCAAGCACAGCCTTCCCAAGGCTCCCGCCTCCAGCCACTCCAACACTCCAAGGCTCACATGGTGTCATTTCATGATTCCAACTCAGAGTGTGTTTCTAATCATCACTTGTGGAAATTTACCCAGAGGATGACGAAGTGGGCAGTCCAACCTGCCTGGATCCAATAAGGGAAGAAAATGACCAAGTGGAATGAACCAGATCTTATCCCATCTGAGGCCTGGGCCCAGGGCCAGTCAGAGCTGGGCACGCGCAGAAACTGACCGGAAGCACAGGCAGGAGAAATCAAGCTAAGCCTCCAGACTCAGGCAGAGGCATTGTGGTGTCCATGCGACTGGGGAGCTTGACCTGTTGATCTGGCTGTCTAGCTCATCAACCCACAGTTCCAGGCCAGGATTCCTAGAGGAGCCTAGCTCTGCCTAAGTAGGAAACTGTCTCAGGAAAGTTAATTTTTTAGGAGGCCAAAAGGCAAGCTTTTCCTTCCCTCTTTCTCTGGAAACACCCTCTCTTTCCCACTAAAACAGTTCATGCCTATGCCCAGATTTTTATTGTTGTTTTTGTTAAGTGCCATCGAGTTGGTTCTAACTCACAGTAACCCTGTATAGGGTGTCCAAGGAGCAGACACTGAGTTTGAACTCCTGAGCTTGTGGTTGTTCAAAGTGACCTCGAGGTTGAGTGCTTACACCCTACGGCATCACACCAGGATTCTTTTTTATGATGAGGTTTCAAATAGAAAAGTTGAAAGAAACATGCAGTAAGCACGCATATACCTACCACCTAGATTTTTATCTATTCGTAGTGGACAATGCTAGCAGCATTATCACTTGTCTATCCATAACTCCGTCCTTCTAAAGGGCCATGAGTCTTTGGGCCCCCTTCCCTTGACTGAGAGCAATGCAGTCCTTTTTTCGTGTTATTACCCCAAACAAAGGGAGGGGAGGGAGGAAGTAAGGAAGAAGGGAGAAAGGAAGGAAGGACGGACGGACGGACACAGGAACTTAGCAGGTTTCTGCAGAGGGCTAAGACTCTTTGAGTTACACGTTGGGCTGCTACCCACAAGATCAGCAGTTCAAAGCCACCAGCCAACTCTGGGAGGCAGAGGAGGGCTGTTTATAGTCAGGGAAACGCCACAGAGGGTCTATATTATCTTAATAGGAGTTAATCTCACTTGAGGCAAATTCTCAAACCAGCTCCCCCAGCTCACTCAGAAAACTGTCCCCAGGGGCTGGCTTGGATTTTCAGTACTGGGAATCCCTGGGGCCTCAGCACGCTTAAGAAGCCAAGTCAGCCTTCTCGGGTCAGTATTATGGCTCTTGTTGTTGTTGTGAAGTGCCGTCGAGTCGGTTCCGACCCATAGCGACCCTGTACAGGGTTTCTGAGGGTGTAAATCTTTACGGGAGTAGAAAGCCTCATCTTTCTCCCGCGCAGCAACTGGTAGTTTCGAACCGCTGACCTTAAGGTTCGCAGCCCGATTCGTAACCACTACGCTACCAGAGCTCCTAGCTTATTGGTTACTGAATCGGCTTTCTGTACAGGACAAGGAGGGGACTGTCCAGCCTGCATTGGGCCCTCGAATCACTGGGTCAGTTCCTGCCAAGGCCACTGCAGTTCCAGCCGTTAACATTTGGGGTGAGTTAATTAAATGTTTGACCAAATATATAGCAGGCTTAATTTTTAAGTTGAATCTTCTGTATGGCCCACGAATGATGTCACGAATTTTGGCAGAAAAAAGGTTCCCCACCCCTGGAGTCCTGGTGTGGCGCTGTGGGGCTAATACGTCAGACTGCAGAGTCATTTGAACTGCAAGGTCGGTGGTTCAAGCTCATGAGCTGCTCCTTGGAAACCCTGTACAGGGTCGCTATGGGTTGATAGCATTTACCAACCACCACCCCTGGTATAGGAACAAGAAAGGAGTACAGGTTAAGTGCTTACAACTCTTGTCACCCAAAGTGAAAGTGGATGCCACCCCCACCATTTACCCCAAGTGACCCTGAGAATGGCCGTGGGCTGGGCTCCACTTCAACTCTGACCTCCCTGGAGCTCTCGGTCTCATTCACAGCCCACCGTGTTCTATTCAGAAGTTTCATCGGTACCAATGACTTTGCTTTAAGCAAACTCAGAAGGTGAACACTCATCAGTACATAATGAAAGGCATGATTCTCCACTGTCCACAGGAGTATACGTCACATCATTTGAAACAGAGGTCAGCAAACTACAGCGAGGCTGCGGTTGCTCTCGGCGTTTATACAGCTTATTGGCACACTGCCATGCCGCCTTGTTTGCACGCTGTCCGCAGCTGCTTTCTGCTACAACAGCAGTGTGGAGTAGCCCTGTCGGACCATGGGGCCCCCACAGTCGGAACCATTACGTGGCCTTTTAGGGAAAGGTTTGCCAACCCCTGGTCTAGAAGAGGTCCCCACAGGGTGTTTTTGTTTTTTAAATAAAAGGAAATTGAACAAGTATGTAGAGTCTCAGCTGTCACACACAGTCAGGCCTCACTGGAGTTACAGGAGTTCCTGCCTCTGAAACTCCCATGTTCTTTACAATTACCGGATCACCATTACTTACAGCTCTTTAAGGTTCTTCATCTTCACAAAGGCATCCAACTGAACAGATCGGATGGCATTCTCACCAAGGTTCCTGGAAAAGAACACATCTCACTCACACACAGAAGGCCTAGGTCCCCCCTCAAGGGTTGGCCATCCCTAAATGACATGCGTGTGAGCAGACACTCGGGGTTTGTTAGGACAGGCCTCGTTCCAGGATGAACCCCCATGTCCTTGTTGTTGTTGTTGTTATGTGCCATCGAGTCGGTTCCGACCCATAGCGACCCTGTATAGGGTTTCCGAGGGTGTAAATCTTTACGGGAGTAGAAAGCCTCATCTTTCTCCCATGGAGCAGCTGGTAGTTTCGAACCGCTGACCTTAAGGTTCGCAGCCCGATTCGTAACCACTACGCTACCAGAGCTGCTTATTCTACTCTAAGTGCTGCATGCCATAGACCCAGGGAAGAGTCCTCCTATAAGGGCAGCGTCAAAGGGAGGTACAGGCTCACTTGGCAAGTCAACATGCCAGAGTGTTCCAGACACAATTATTGTCACACTGACGCAGAAAAACTAGAGTCGCCAGCCCTAGAAGAAGGTGACAACATGAGCGCTTAGGACCACTTGGTGCCCCCCTTCTCCCCATAGTGCACCAGGCTTGGTTGGGTCCTGATGGAAGGAGAATGAGACCCGGCCTGCATGGGCCCGTATAGCAGAGCGGCGTGAGGTAGGCTGGGGGCGGAAGGTCATTCCCCAAACACCAGTTGTAATAATTAGGAGCACACCACTGCCACAGTGTTTCCAGCATTGGCAAAATAAAGGCCAAAGTTGAAGCTGCCTTCTAGTGAGAAGGAAGCAGGTGGCCTTCCCAGACAGCCTGATTCTCGGCTCACAACGATGCCATTCAATTGGTAGCAGCCGGCAGGCGCATTTGGCAGGTCTGTGGGTCAGCGAAGGTCTACAAGGTACTCACAGATGCTCCAGGCCTTCAAGCCCTGAGAAGGCTCTCTTAGCCACAGACTTGATCTTGTTTCCAAACAGAGTCCTGTAGTGCCCAAACATCCGTGGGGGGCGGGGGAGAAAGAGAAGGCACAATTATTCAGCAAGGTGCAGGTGGAGTTCTGACCTGCAGGGTCTGAAGTATGCATGCCTTCCCCTTTCTGAAATGAAACACTTTTATCTTCGTTAGAATTTAGCAGTGATGACAGACTGGTATTGCAAGCAGCATCTCGCCTCAGAAGGCCCTTTGCTACGCTAAGTGGATATCACCTTGTCCAGCCCAGCCTGTCTCCAAGGACCACCCAAGGGGGCAGGGAGGATGAGGTTCAGTGATGAAAACTCACAAACTAAAACTGCTGCCCAATCGGTAAAATGCATTCTGAGGATAGAGGTTCCCATCAAAGGCAAGAAGGCAGGACAGGAAAACAGGCCTCTGTCCAGATGGCTCTGTGGCTGTGTGCACTGGCGTCCACACTGGCAGCCAGCTGCAGCCCAGGGAGCCATGTCTACCAAGACTGCCCTCCTCTGGGCCTTCTTGGGGACGCCACGGTGCTGCAACGTCATAGCAAGATGCTGGGTTTTATACAAATCCCAGATCCAAGGATCCTCCAAGGTGAAACTCCAGTGTAACTTAATGCCCATACCCCTGAATGACACATCCACGAGAAGGTGGCTCTTCCTTCAACACAATTCCAGTCCCAACCTGAACACTAAATGTTCCCTCAGAGGCCAACATCTGCCTCCCTCCAACATGCATGGAAGTCAAAAGTCCAACAGAGCGGTATGCTGCTCTTCAAGGTGAAGCCGTGTGGGCTGGACAGTGAGATGCAGCTCTTTACTTCTCAGTATCAGAGGCTCTGATGAGAGTCCACTAGAGCACCCCCTGCCATTCCCTGCTCCTGGCATAGGGGGATCATCTGCTGGTGCCTCCTGGAAGGAAGGTAGAGCTGACAATCAGATATGAGAGCTCTTAAACTTTAGTCCCCACCAGCCTTTACCTAAAAGCCTTGTTAAGAGCACAGGCTGCTAGGAGCCAGCCCTCAGAAAGTCTCCCGATCAACAACGGGTCTGGGATAGGAGCTAATAAGGAAAAAGCAGTGTAAGTGGCCAGGGGACCACCCTGGAAGAAAGCCAGGCTAGACAGCCCCTCAGTGGGAAGGAGGATTCCTTGTCTAGGACCCCAGAGAAAGAGTGGAAAGAATTGGGCTAGAGGCCAGCTCTGCCTTCAGTCTTGCATTCACATAGGGTAACCACAAAGGGAAAAACCAGCTTCCCCCAACACCCCAAGGAAGCAAAGAAAGGAAAGAAGAGGTCTGAAGACAGCCTAAGGTGGCTCTGCTCCGTGGGGCTCAGGCTCCTACCTAACCGGGAAAGGTCGCCCAGGGGACCCCCACTGTCTGAAAGCCGATCAGTCATCCCTAACAAACCTTATACAAGCAACAATGGCATGAAACAAAGAAACATGAAGCAAAGAGAAATATCTGCAAGTTCCCAGACAAAAAAAAAAACAAACCATCAAATAACACATAAACCCTAAAATCCCACTAAGCTAGTGTGGAGGGGCATACATAGTTCACAGTTCAGGGGGCACAATGCTGAGATGCTGCGAGGAGCTCCTAGGAAAGGCAGCTCGATGCAAAACAAACACTCAATGCCAATTCTGTTTTTCAAATGCAGCCAGTGCCAGGCTCGCAACGGGACGCAGCCAATGCCCAGGAGCCAAGGATGTATTTTCTCAGCTTACTCCCAGGGCGCTGTGAGCCCAGGAGACCCGCTTCCTGGGGTAGCTGCACCATAGGAGCCTCCCAAAGCCCCCATTTCATCGGAAACAGACCCCTTCCCTGTCTCAGGTCCTGCACTGAGGCGGGCCATCAGCAACCTCAGACAAAGCCAGCTATGTTTTCTGCTTCTGAAGGCTAAAGGGGCAAAAAGGCCAAAGACCCCTTTGCCGTTTGTTTCTTTCAGAGGCAGTCTGTGTGAATGTGAAAACAATCTCATCCGGAAAGAGTTGTTCCCACCACATCTCAATCTCAAAGTTTCCTTTTAAAACAAATAAACCAACGACACAGAAAGCTCTGTGGCCCCACTAGCGATGCTCCCTAGACACAGACCCCAGCCCAGCAAGGACCCCTGTGATCAGGGACGTGGTAAACACACGCTGTACTGATTCATGAAATTGCCCATAAACCACAACCCAGAGAAAGCTGTGCTTTATTTCATCTGTTGAATCGTTGTCACACTGACCTCTTACAATGTGGAGAGGCTCTTATTTCCAGCAGTGACAAGAGCAATAAAGCAAATTCTCAATAATGCCAGGACAAGGATTCCGGCCTTGGAACCCCTATGGAGCAGTCCTACTCTGTCCTATCAGCAATGGGCTGTAACCATCTTGTTGACTCAAATGGTCCTTGTGCTTTCAGACATCTGAGAGCCAGGGTTTGGGTTCGACCTGGCTAGTGCTCGGGCCTGGACCAGACAGAGGGGAGCTAAGAGGCAGTTGCAGTACCTGATACTGGTCCTCAGGGACTCGGGCGGGGGGGGGCGCTGCTGGCCTGGCTCCTAGCCCCACTGAGCAGACAGTGACCTACCAAATCCTCTCCCACATCTCCGGGCTTGTCCAAGGCTTTGGGGCCGAGTACTAAGGTGACCCATGTCTCTGGGATTTTGATGACGTGCAACCATTCCACTCCTCAACAATGGATCTAGACTCTCTTTACCTCAAGCAAATTCAACTCTGCCCATTTCCTCGGGCACCCCTTCCTTCTCCACCATCCTGTGTGCCTGTCAACCCCTCCGTCCTGAGGAAGGCCAAGAAAGCTGGAACCACAGAACTGGTCTCTGTTATCCACCATACACAAGTCACCAGATGCTCCAGACCCCGCCCTCCCCCGCCCATACTAACGCTATCCGAGTATGCTCCACAGCCCTTCTGAGGGAGGGAATATGATCACAGGTAAACCAGGGAAAAGAAAACACTTCGCCAAGGTCTAGGAACATCTCGCCCTGCCAGGCACTTCCAGCTTGAAGAACTATCCAAAATGTTGTCCACAGCAGCTGGCAACATTAAGGGGAGGGCAGCATCTACCCAGTCTTGGGTGGGAGGGGTGGGGAAATGACACAATCCACACGGTCGATTCCGACTCAGAGTGGACACTAGAGTACAGAAGCGAACTGCCCCCTCGGGTCTACCAGCTGGGATTCTTTATGGAAGCAAACTTCTTTCTCCCATGGAGCGGCTACTGGATTTGAACCTCTGACCTTCAATCAGCAGAGGAATGCTGTGACCACCTACGGCTCGTATGGCTCTGCTGCCCTCCTCTTCTTTTCTGGGAGAACATTTTAATTTACGACTGGCAATTTGTGTGATAGGTGGCCACCCAGGGCCAAGCTGCCCCTTCCCACCACCCTAGGCAGATCCTCCAACAGCTGTCCCCTCAAGCCCTTTGATGGCCAGCCCAGGCGAGGTCAAGGGCACTCCCGGCACATTCACTGTCTGCAGAGGATGAGCTAGTTCCTCAGACACGACCACTCTAAAGAAGCAGCCCTTCTTGATGCCGATGCTGACATGCTGCCCACGTCATGGGGGTCCTGACCATGCAGTGGTGTGGCCATGGGCCAGAGCTCCCCAGCACTGCCCTGAGCAGACTCGGTAAGGAAGGAGATCAAGCAGCATTCGCTCACTCCTCCCTTCCTTACCCTAGCTAGCAAATGATTATTCAGCACCTACTATGTGCCAGGCAGTGTGGCTTTTCACCAGAGCTGAGCGCCAGGATCATGTAGCCAAATTCAAACACCATCCAAGGATGACAGAAGAGTATGCTGAGCCACCATGTACCAACCATCGTCCACTTCCGCCAACATGACTTCAGCTCCCTCTAGGGGACCATGCACCTTATCACTCTTGTTTTATACAAGAATTCTGTTTGCCTCTTCTTCCTCTTTCACGTATGATAGACCCCAATTGAGCAGATCTAGCTCGACTCCCAAGAGTCAGCATCTCATGTACGACAGCCTGCCATGTATGTGATGAGATTACTGCCGCAGCGTCTCCCCCAGCAGTGCTGTTTGTCTCTCCCTCTGGCTCAAGGTTCAGAGTCAGCGGGGCTGCGCAGACTCCGGCTTGACAATCTTGAGTCTAATGCCTTCTCAGGTGAGTCTCATAATGAGGCCAATTAGGAACCACTACTTTTGTGGATCCAAAATCAGATCAGATCAGATCACTCAAGGAAGGAAAATGCAGTTTACACTGACACTTGGAAGTTGAGCTAAAACTGCTGAACCGAATCCAGTGGGGCAAAGGAGGAGAAAACACCAGGACAGACAGACAGACGGCAGCCATCACTGTAGGAGGAGCCAAGGAAGCACCTCCAGAAGCCACAGTATCCAAGAACCGGGCTCAGGTGCCCTCTCCTGAGCACCCATCAAGCAGGGACAGGTACAACTGTCCGAACCCTACCCAAGAGCATGGGGTTGTCAGCCCCTTTCGGAGAGAGCGGCTCTTGTCTTGTGGTAGGAGCGGCTCCAGCATCCTGCCCACTTGCCGTTCCTGGTGCTCCCAAAGCTTGCCATGTTAATGGGGTGAGGGGATGTGGGGAAGGGAAGTTCTTAAAGGAAGAGTTAGAGGAAAAACTAACCCACACTCAACACGTGCTATCTGAACGGAAGCAAAAATGGCTTACTCTTAATTGGTATCCTCATGGAATCAGGTGTGAAAAAGCACACTTTTCAAAACAAATCATAAGCATTTCATCTACCACGACGGCTCACTGTCCCCACGCATTCCTGGCACCCTGAGCTCACCTAGTGCTTTCAAAACACTGAGCTCTCGCACACAGGGGCAACTAGGTCACCCGTAGCGGGACTGGAGATCTGCCTAGCCCCCTCAAGTCCCCTCTCTGAGTGGCTAAGACACAGTCCTGTGTGTCCTTTGGTTGCCTGGTAAGGCCAGATGCAGAGAGAGCGAGGGCCTCCTGACCTTGCCACTGATGAGCTGCATGGTTGTGGCCAAAACTCCTTCGCCATGCACCACCTAGTAGGGCCTGCCTTTGCAAGACTCTCAGATACAATCTCTGCCTTACAGAGCTACCAGTCATCTGAAGTGCTCAAACAGTACAGAACACCCCAAACCTTCTACAGTTAACTAACTATTACTATTGTCTTTGGTAATGACTGTTGTCATTTAGTATGAAGACAATACCCTTACAGAAACCACGTAACCATCAAGAGTTACTTGGTAGTTCAAGACATTTCACACATTTCTAGAAACTGAGCCAGAGGACTCAGTTCTTTGCCTCCTTTGTGCAAAGAAGAATAAAATCTGGGTGTTTGCACATCAGTCACATTAAAGCAGGGGAGCAGTCAGTGGGTACCCCAAAGCCAGGCCAGGGCAGCGGTGGGAGGACCCTGGCCCAGTGGGAAGGTGGGCTACGTCCTTCTCGGTCAGGCAGACTTTTCTCCACAAACAAAAGAAGATATTCAGGGAGCCAGGCCGCCTCCCTGGAGCCCAGAACAAAGGAGGGTGAGGGGCACTGAAGAACCATCTCCCTCCCCAGACCCACAGAACTGGAGAGATACTCACAGCTTGCTCAGGCTGTCAAGCCCAGTAAAAGCTCCACTGGTGTCTTCTATTGTGCCTGAAATCTCGTTATGATCCAGATCCCTGGGAAGACAGAAAGGAAGCTAACTCATCATCCATTCTGAGTTCTCAACTCATTCTTCCCCAAGACGTGGGTGGGGCTCACAACTTCACGGAAGCCTCCACTTTGAAACTAAATGCTTTCTAGAAGCCCAGCGGGAAGAGATGGCTAAGACATGGTCACACATCCACAGCAGGTCCCGTTTTGCCTACCTGGAGCTGACGCTAGCCTAGTTCATGAAGTTCCCTCAGGGCAGCCCCTGAGGGAAGGAGGAATGCAGACAGCACTCGGGAAAGCTCACTTGTATTCTAGTCTACCCCCAGACACTGCATCTGGCCCTACCATGGAAAATCACGCCAGCCAGAGCATCGTTTCCAGAGTGGACAAGAAACTGTGGCCAGCACATGAAGGAGAGAAACTGCGAAGAGAGAGGCCTCCCTGGGACCCTAACCCCAGCTCCAATGCTGCAAGGGGGCCTAGACCCAGAGCCCACATCCCCACACTGTTCAGGCATCAACTCTGAGCCAGGGAGGACAGCTGGGCGTTGAGTCAGACTAGTGATACACTTGCCAGGATGGGAGGGCCGAAGCCAAGCCCTGAGCCGTCTCCCGGGCTCTCCACAATGAAAATCACAAGTCGGATGAGTCAGCTTCCTCCATTCAGCCCCCACCCCACGTGGCGGCCCGGCCCCCATCGACCATCATGCCCCCACCCCCAGTCCTTGCACATGTGGGGCCAAGGAAGGGACGCTGCCTCCAGCTCCCATGAAGGCCATCAGGAAGAGTCACACGGGGGTGCGGGGTGAGCTGTGGCTGGGACCTTTCTATGACAGCAGGAAAGCTTCCGGTGGAAGGCACGTCTCCTTTCAATGGCTGCTCTCTCTAAGAGCAGAACCAGAGCTAAGGGTTTGTGAGCCGGGCTCCCTACGCCTGGCCCTGGACCCAAATGGTTTCTCTTCTCTCCGCCCTGTTCAGTCTGAATGCCCTCGGAACGGCTCATCAGGCCTTGTAAGGCCTCACCAGCTGACCTCAGCCGCTGCTTTCACGCTCCCCCAACAATAGTTTGGCCTTAAAGCCCAAAGTTCTCTCCACCAGGTGCCAGCACAAACGTCTTCCTCGCTTGGAAATCAGGGCGGGCTCCTCTCTCTGCAGTCAGCATGCTGGGAGGGAGCCTGCAGAAGCCACTGCCCACTGTCTTATGACAGTTACATGTCCCTCCTTTAGTTTTTCATGTTGTTTGGGAGTTCGTGTATGCCAACAGTTGACACTTTTTGTGGTGAAGGTCCCAGAAAATCAACTTCCTGTCACCTCACTTAATTAGGGACCTAGAGGGAAATGACATTATTAACTCCACTTTGTTATGTGACTCTTAATGAGGTTCAAGGAAGGTCACAGAACTCCCAAAGCACCTCTCTTGGTGATGAGGCATCCTGGGCTATAGTAACTGCTGACGAACAGTTGTGGCCTGAACCCCATCACCACTTGGTTCATAGAGAAAATACTCAGGACTTAAAGGAAGAAGTCACAACTGAAAGACTCCAAACTAGACACACTGACCCCCATGGCTGGTGCTCGGGAGGCTACCCCAAGCACATGGTTGGGCAACTTGCCCAACCACAAGACCCCAGTGTCCTGCCAAGCACACTGTGGGAATTACCACTTGATAACAAACACTTTTTCAAGCATCATCATCACCCTACAGGGGAGTGAGAGACAATTCTCTGTTCCACCAGCTCCTTTTCAACAGATTCTATGAATGGTGAGACCGTAGCCCTAACATGCCGGCCGTGGAGCCAAACTGACTCAGAGCCAATGAGAACAGGATCCAGCCAACCAGCTGGTTTGTTCTGCTTGGTTCTCCCAACCGGGTACCCTTCCTCCTCGGTCAAGCCAACAGTGGAAGACATACAAGATGCGCAGGCTTTTGAGTCCCTTGAAGGCGCCCTCCGCGATGTGGCTGATGGAATTATGACTGAGCCGCAAGATGTTCAGGCTGCTCAAGTCGGCCAGGCTCTCCTCGTCCAGCCGGGTAAGGTTGTTGAAGGACAGAATCCTGAGGGGGGAGGAGGCAAACGTCATAGTCTGACCATGGGCTTGTCCGCCTTTCCTTTCCCAAACACGTCTTAGTGGCATACACACAAACACACCCCGCGAGAGGAATCCCAACAGTAAAGATCACACCGCTAGGGCCAAAAACCATAGAGGCTGATGCCTGGGGTGGTCTGTAGGTCATGCAGATGGAGGGGGTCCACGAAACTGTGAGGACTACGTAAGGTCACAGAAGAGAAAAACCCTGAAGATTCCTTCAAACTGGTGTCCACAGCTGACCTGAAATCAGGCTAAGAAAAACCTTTTACTGTAGAGACTCTGCAGAGGCCTTTACAAGTGATGGTCCAACAGCCACAGCCCAGCTGATTGACTGAGCAAGGAACTCTGCTTACACTCCCCACATCAGCCAGCAGAGGGCGCCACTAGCCACTACCTGCCACGGGGGTTCCTTCACACCTTACCTGGGCACTCCTTAGCTCCCCAAGTCAGCTTCCCAGTGTGACCCCACCTACTGTCTGAAGGGCAGGGAACATGCCTTGTCAATCACAGGCCTTTCCTGAGCTTTATCAAATCCAGCCCTCCTTGCTCACAGGACTAGTCCAGTATAACTGGTACAGCCCTGGGCTGGTTCCTTGGCATATTCGTCATTTATCATTGAAAAATGGGAAACATGGGCTGAGGCAGGAAGCAGGAAAATAATTCCGAGAAGATTAATGAGCTTTCCTTTAAAGACTGCAGGGATCTACATTCCTTCTTCCCTAGAGATGTAAGTCATGGTGTCTGTCAGTCACAAAGACCTGGCGGGAGATCAAAATTACATCCTCACCTGCAATTAAGGAATTTAGCTTAAGGGAGGCGGGGAAACAACTCACTGGAAAGCAATCCTAACTCTGAACATCGGGCAACTAGGAAGGCACGCTTCCATGGACTCTTCAACGCCACACTGACAACAGAATCAGTGTCCGCCCACCAGACAGGGACACAGGAATGCGTCAATGAACAGAGTGGACCAAGGACTTCCACACCCTCAGGGAACTGCTTCCCATCTCCACTGTCCGACTGGACTTCCAGTGCTGGCCACTTGTTCTCAGTACCAGCTCCCAGTGACCTTGATAGGATTTCTGAGGGTCTAAATCTTTACAGCACAAAGCCTCATTTTCTCCTCCGGAGCAGCTGGTAGATTCGAAATGTTGACCTTGCAGTTAACAGCCCAGCTACCAGGGCCCCTTGACCACTTGTTCAAGGAGGTCACGGTGTTATCTGAAGAGCTAACACACACATAACACACGTGCGCACACATACACACATACACTCACTCACTCACTCACTCTCTAAGGAAAGCAGCTCTGGTAGCGTAGTGGTTACGAATCGGGCTGCTAACCTCAAGGTCAGCAGTTCGAAACTACCAGCTGCTCCACGGGAGAAAGATGAGGCTTTCTGCTCCGTAAAACTTTATAGCCTCGGAAACCCTGTATAGGGTCACTATGGGACGGAACCGACTCCACGGCACATAACAACAACAACAACAACAAGGAAAGTTAATGTAAGGAAAGAGGTAGTGTTAAATTAACAATGGATCTACTGAACTAGGAATGCCTGCCCTGAGCCATGCACATAAGTGAGTGTATGCCATTAATGTGACACAAGAGAACACAGAAGAGAGGAACACCCCTTAAGTTAGTCTGGGACGTTCAAGACAGGTTCCTGGCAGTCTGACAAACACTGGGCTCTTCAGGGGGTGAACCGTGTCCTAAAGTCAAGGTGAGAAAAAAAAAGAGAAGCAAGCCCATCCATACCTTCTTAAGAGAATAGAAAAGCCTTGCAAACAAAGAACTAGAAATGAGAAAAAGACGACACACATGAGGATCTGTCTCTCCCCACACCCAAAACCAATCCTGTACATCTCCTACGAATGGGTTAGAAATGGATCCCATACAAAAATCTTGGAGGTAGCCACGAAGACCATTGCCCATCCTGGGCACCAACTAGTTCAGCTGTGGCCCTGACTGGAGATGCCCATGGAGTCAGGGGCTGAGCGTCTATCAGAACAGCGTATGCACAACTGCCCAGCTGCACAGGAACTCTGAGCAGACTGCAGAAATGCACGAGGAGGAGAGAGCCACTAACGTGTCCATCTGTCTGGAAGAAGGAAAATGAAGACTACTGTTCCAAAGGCGAAGTTCTCATCATCTCCCACTCGTAGTCCAGTTCTTTCTGTGTCTGAGACAGTCCTAGGAGGAGGTACCCTTGGGTGCAGTCATTTGGGGAAGGTCATGCTGAAAACATTCCAGAACAGGAAGTGTCTCCAAACCCAACAGAGGTCTGACGGGGGAGGCTCCTCCCTCCCCTCAGTCTAATAACCAAACTCAATCCCTGTGCCTGCTTGTGGCCTCTGGGGCCTGCAGTCAGCCTGCCCGTTTGGGAGCCCGTTTCCTCCCTGGAAGACAGGGCTGTGGGCCAGCAAGCCTGGCTCTGAGCTTCCTGTGTGTGCAACACTGAGGCTGTGGCAAGGGCCAGGCCTAGAGCCTCTGGTCTCCAAAGAGCGCGTCTACCGCAGCGTCTCAGACCGGATGGGTGGGCACTTACAGCTCGTGCAGCTTTTGGCAGAAGCTCCAGCCATCACGGTTAATGCGAGAGATGGAATTGTTGCTGAGATGGAGCTGGTGCAGGGCTGTGAGGCCGTAGAGTGACCCGCTGTTCACTTCTGTCAGACTGTTGAACTCCAGGTGCCTGCAATGACAGCCACAGACAAGATGAAGCCAGTGGGAGCCTGACACGGGAGGGCACTTCACTTGGGGCGCTCATCCACCCACCCATTCAAAAGCCAGCCCGGAAGCAGCCACGGGAGGCAGAAATGAGGACACACACGTGCACGAGTGAACAGTCGAGTCGGCTCTCGTCCCCACGTGTGTAGACACTTGTGAACATGCAGGGGCTCAAAGACAGGTCAACACCAGTGGTAAGGGCCAAGACACGCTGACAGAGTCTAGATGTCTGTTTTAAAGCCAAGTGATCCAAGCAGAGGATACAGCGAGGAGAGGCCTTTAAAGTATCAGAATGAAGGTAAGAAATAGGTCTTGTCATTATCCCCATCTTAAAGAGAAGAAACTGAGGCTGAGACCGTTAGAAACTTGCAAACATTCCACAACTTCACAATGACTGGGGGTGGGGGGAGACATCCAAACCCAGGCTATCAACGCCTGGGCTCTGTACCACTGTGCCAAAAGACACACTCTGGGGTCCAACTACTTGGGTTTCAATCCTAATTCTGCCATGTGCTGGGCTGAACGACTGGGGCATCTCATCTGTAAAGTGGAAATGTCAAGAGTTATGAGAAAATGCAGGTCAAGATTTTAGCACAGTGCTTAGGACAAACTGATCAAGTCTGTTTTTCCCTGCTTCTCCACACGGCACACCCCATCCAAGGATGACCTGACCTCTTCTGTAGAAGTTACTAATTCAAAGCCCGTTCCACACTCAGTGTTACAAGGAGCTTTGAGCAAGCAGGCTTTCTTTGCTTTTGTCCATCTTGCTTCCTGCCATTGCTCAGGCATCAAGCAATGACTTCATAAATGTCCTCTAAGACAATTCATCACCCCGATTTGTAGACATTTGATCAAACATAAAAATGACTAGTTAACTGCAAACACTACTTTCTTCTAGGAATCTGTAGGTTCATGTCTCATCTTGGCCTTACAGCACACCATCACACCTGGATTCAAAAGCCCAAAACGACAGTACCAAGAATGTCAAGTATGAAAGCACAGCTACAGCTAAAGGAGGGAAGAAGGCGAGAGTGGCCGAGCCGCTGCCCTCAGCAGGTCACCGGATGTGTGTGGCAGAGCGTGGGGTGGGGTCATCAAGAAAAGCTTCTGATCATGAGGACCGTAGTTACAGAAAACCAATAAAGGGCATAAAAGCAGTGACACACTTTATACAAAGCAGAAGAGTGTGTCATGAGCAACTTCAATCACTGGCTGCAAGGCAAGAAATCTCCAGGTGGTAAATACAGAGAGCAGCAGGGAGGTATTACCTTGGAGACTCGAGAAAAATCACAGAAGTCAAAAAAGAAACGACCGGAAGTGGCTGCCTCCTGGGACAGAAACCAGGGTAAAGAGGGACTGAGGCAGGCGTAGAGGCATAAATGCTTCGCTTTACTGCCTGGTTTTCTTGATTTATAGGTATACATTGCTTTAGAATTTGAAAACGAGTACATCGCAATGTTTCACAATAAATCATCATCGTTTGTCTTGTATGTACGTGGCGGTGCGTTGCTTTAAGTTACTCTGGCGAGCAGGCAAGTTCTCTCAGTGTACACATCTGGCTGGAGAGAATGCTCCCTTGATAAAAGTTGAACATCTGCATGGAGTGTGTTGATTAGTTCACAAGACACAAATAAATCTCTCAGGATGAACTATAGATTGTTGGCCCACCTGCACATCAAGAAAGACTGTCAACGCCAAGAGCTGGGAGAGAAGGAACTTCCTGTGGTGTGTGGGAGAGGGAGAGGATGTGGGAAGGGAGTCAGCTGTGTGATCCCACGTTAACCAAGGAAGTGGGGGTGCAGAACTAACGTGAGGTGAGAGTGAGTAGGCCAAACAAAAGGGCTCCCGTGCTCATCTCCACCAACCAACGTACCAAGCTGACCCAAGCCACTAACACCTCCCCCAAGAGTTTCCTAAGCAACGAAGGATGAGATCAGACTTGCTCAGTCCCCACAGGCAGTGAACTCAGCGGGCAGCAGAGGACTGGGTCCAGCCAAAGTTTCAAAATCCTTTAGAGCAGGGAGCTGCAGTCCAGGTTCCCCACGATAAGCCCAGTGTGCAGATGAATAAATGCATGTGTGGCACAGACAGACCGAGCACACTTGTCCTCAGCTATGCAGCAAAGCCAGGAGTCCGAGATCAGCCCGCACTTACAACACATGCATCTTGGACAGCCCCCAGAAGGCCCCATCTGTCAGTTTGCTGATGTTGTTTCGCTGTAGCTTCAGCACTTCCAGGCTGTCGAGTCCCTGGAACGTCAGGCCCTCGATGAGCCGGATCCGATTCCGATTGAGGTCCCTAGAGGGGTGGAGCCAACAGGTTCAGAGCATCCACCCCACACAGCTGCCTGCAACCATTCCCACACGGTCACGGCTGGGGTTACACCCAAGCTGGGGCCCACACCTGTGTGTCTGTCTTCTACCCTCTCCACCTCCCATACTGACATCAAACAGGGCAACGCTGCTGTTCAATGAAACAAGAGGAACACCTCTGCCGCCCAGCACGAGCGAGTGTTCACATTTCCCCATCTGAACGACAGAGGCGAAATCCAGAAGGCCGCAGAGAACATGAGTCGGAATAGGATGTGAGCCTCTCAGGTGAGCAGTCTCCTAGCTCAGTGATCAGAATCCTCAGCCCAGGTCCATCTAACCCACTGGATGTCAAATGCCAATCTGGGGGCATTTTGGGTTTTTTGTTTGTTTGTTTGTTTGTTTGTTTGTTTGAACCTGGGGTCATTTAATGGGCGCGCTTCTTGAGGAGAGTTTCTGGTGATGCAGTGGCTAAAGCACAACCAGCCCCTCCCTGGGAGAAAGATGGGGTGACCTGCTTCCATCAGGATTACCGTTTTCGGAACCTTATGGGGCAGTTTAACTCTGTCCTACAGAGCCTTCATTATGAGCAGGCCTTGACTCTGAAGCAGGTGAGGCTGTTTGGTTCTGGATCTGGAGAGAAGGTATGGGTGGGGGTGGGAGTGGAGAGGAAGACGCACCACGAAGAACACAGGTCTGGCTTCTAACTCTGAGCATGATCAGATTTAGTCAACCAGACCATTTTAGGAAGCTGGGTGGGCTGCAACTATTAGCAACACTGGAAGAAGGAGAGCACAGGGTTGACCAGAAAGCCCTGGGTTTTCCCCAAATATTTTTGCAGTGTCTCAAGACTTTGCCACATTCACAGTTGACTGACTTTCTTAAGACAGGTCAGCCCAGGGATGAAGGAATGAAGGAGGTGGGGGCGCCTCCAGAGTGTCCACTGTGTGTAGGGTGGGGACACAGAGGCACTGCGATTCTGGGCTGCCCCGGTCTCTGCCAGGCTTGGCAATGCTGCTGAACTGCTTAAACCAGATTCTTTCGTTCTGTTTAAACCAATTCTCCAATATATTCTTCAGCTAAAAAAAGAGGGCACAGAAAAGCAAAATCCAGGGCACAAGGAGTCTTAATTTTTTTGGTTACTTAAGGTTTTCCTGAACCAAAACACTTGTCATTCTTGAAGGGTACTCAACAAATATACCACCACAATAACAAAAGTGTGTTGTTGGTTTTTTTTTTTTTTAAATAAATCAACTGCCGTACAAGATTTAGGAGAAGACTGTAACTCACTTCTTGCTTACTACCTCTGGCTATAACAACTTCTCAAACCACCTGAGACTGCTTCTTGGAAACCCTGTACAGAGTCGCTATGGGTGGAAATCGACTCGACGGCACTTAACAACAACAAAAACAACATAAGGTACAAGAATTACTGGTGCAGCACTGCAGGAGAAAGCACTGGACTGCAATGTTAGTTTGAACCACAACGTTGGTGGTTCAAACCCACTAGCCACTTCTTGGAAACCTTAGACAGGGTCTCTATGAGTCAGAACCAACTTGACGGCACTTAACATCAGCAAGGTCCAAGATAGAGATGTTATGGTTACCTTTTAAAAGGCCCCCAAACCTCTGCGATCAAAAAGAACCAAGCCCACACAGGTGATGCATTAACCCCTGTCAGCTAACCAGCAGGACGCCACACTTTCTTTTGGAAAATGCCAATGAGGACACGCACTAACACTCAGTTGATCTTTCTCTCTCAACAATCCGAGGCAGCGCAAAGCACCAGACCCAGCTCCTAATGTGCTTTTATTAGGTGTTGCTGTCAGGTCATTAATGATAGTTTATGCAAAGCTTTACCGAGGGGCAGTGAGGAAGGGGTGGCATTTGGTATGAAGTCCTTGGGGAAATGTGGTCTCCATAAAGTTTGGCCAACCTTAATTAGGTTGTGGAGGTTCTATACTCACAGTTGTGTCAGCCTGGGTAACTTAAATGCTTTCACAGGAAGCTGGGTGATCCTGTTTTTGCTCAGGCGGAGCGTTAGCAGCGACCGTGACAGACCATCAAATGCTCCTGACTCCAGGGTGCTGATCCGGTTGCTCGCCAAGTTGCTGGCAGGATTCAGAAGAGAAAATGTAGTGGTCAGTAGGAGGCCTTCCTCCATCCGTCCCAGACACCAGGCCCAGCTGCACTGGGAAAACAAGACTCATTGGGGTGGAGCTGTGGACAAGGTACTGGACTGCAAGGTTGGTTTGAACTTGGAAGGTCGGTCAGCAGTTCAAATTCACCAGCCGTTCCTTGGAAACCCTATACAGAGTTGCTGTGAGTTTGAATCGACTCGAAGGCACTTAACAACAATAAGAGGGTGGGTGAAGGCCAGCGTGACTCCCAAATGGGCAGCTGGGGAAACGCAGGTCTCAGGGTGTGACCCAAGCCTTGTTTCATGCCCTTTGCAAACCGTGCCTCAACCCCCCACCCCAAACATTCTCACACATCATCTCAGCCACCGGATTGTTCCTCACCGCCCACCACCCAAGGGTTACGGCTGCAGGCTGCTGAGATGAGCCCTGTAAATCAGTACGGCAAATGAGACGGAAGGCTGGGTGCATCTAAGTTGGCATTTCAAATGGCCTTTCATTTTGGTGTGGGTCTTATTTTAGGATTAAAATGAGTATACATCAATTCATTTTAGTAATTCTAACACACACAATTTAAAGAAACTTGCAGAGTCACTTTAAAGAGCAAACAATCCTCTGTGGCTCCCTGGACTCACACGGGACATCCTGTTAGAATACAGAAAAGGCAGGTGACCTTCCTCAGAAAGCATGGCAGGGTAGAGCTAAGAAGTATGCATCTCAAGCAGTAAGCAGAAAAGGGAGGAGCAATGTGGTATTCCTGGGAGCAGTTGGCCCCTAACACCTCTCCGACCTTACTTGGCCAAATGCTGCTCCTTTGAGCACCTGTGAAAAGGCGAAGGAACACAGAGTTTGGACAGGGGAGAAGGCCCAGGAGGGAATGAGGAACTTCACATCTCTACAACAGGCAGGGGCCAGAAGAGGGCACATGGGAATTCTTTACAAATGTGGCTGGACTATTTGTTCCTAACACTTCAGATTAAAAGAACAGTCCTTGTGATAAATAGATACTGGCCAGTATTAGCCAGAATAGAAAGTCCCTCCCACTCTCATGTAGAGACAAAAGGTCAGTGAATTTACTTCAGCGGTTGGGGGTTTCTATGTCCTAATTAAGGGAGTGTCAGGTGGCCGCTGGGTACCTTTTCAAAGACCCTCATTAGGGACTGAGCACAGCCACCAACTGTCTCCAGGTCTTAACATTCGGGAGCAGGCTGCTCTGCTCGGGGTCTTTACTTGGAGCCTCGGCTTCTTGGAGAAGACGGGTCATAACCACCACTCAGCCAGCCTCACAAAGGGTCTCCACCACTCCTCGGGCACAGCAATAACGCAGGGAGGGAAAACACACATGCAACCTTGACATGTCTCTTTACCCGGACGGTTTCTAACCCAAAGCCAACTTCTCCCTACCAACAAGTGGTGCATTAAACAGACAGCAGCTTTCATTCTTGCTGTCTACTTTCTGTTGGGTGTGAGATGGGGGTGTGAGAATGGGTAAAGAGAAACAGACCAACAAAGGAACCGAAGAAGCCCTGAGAACCTACAAAATGGAATCGCTGCCCTCCTCTCATGATCTCCAGTAAACCAAATGACTGATTTTTAAAACAGGGCACCGCACTAGAGAAAGGTGAGTTACAGACGTCTCCCTCCAATGTGAAACATCTCAAAATATCCGAGTCCAGTATATATGCCTGCCTGGGAGGCAGCTCAAAATGCCCGACATGTGATTCCTAGGGTCTGCAGGGAGTGGGGTGTCCTTGTCATCTATAAAGCCAGAGTCCGGCTGCAGGATCTGGAGGGACCTCCGGGAAGAGGGAGACAGAAGGTGCAGAGAAGGTGGGTCCTGCCATGCTGGGGAAGCTGATAGAGCTTGGTATCATCCCCAGGGCCTCGGCTGAGAGGCAGAGAGCACACGGGCAGTGTGGAACTTACAGCTCTTTTATGGGCAGCCCATGGGGAAAGCAGGCACTCCGGATTTCCGTGATGTTGTTCGAACTCAGGTCCAACACTTCCAAGGAAAGGTACGCCTCCAGATGCTTCCCCTCTACAAGGCGAATCTTATTGTGCTGTCTGGAAGACAGAAGGGACTCAAATCATTTTATTTTTCAAAGTAACTATAACGGAAACCGTTTGCCATAGAGCTGACTCGTGATGTGCGCCAGTGTAAACCTGAGCTGCTCTACAGCTTTCAAAGGCTGATTCTTCTGAAGTGATTACCAGGCCTTTCTGCCAAGGTACTTCAAGGTAATCTCAAACTGCCAACCTTTTAGCGAGGACTTACTTGGTGACTCTAAAGAAACAACAGGACGCTACAGGGACCCCCACAACTTCTTTCAGACGCTTTTTCCCCAGCTGCTTATAAACCCGGTATCACTCAGGACATCAAGTTTTTCAACACTGGCTGGGAGCTCCATAGAATGAGGCTCCTCTGTCACAGTGCTAGGCTAAGGTCACTCTCCCCAAGGGCAAGAACACAGCAGTGATTTGTGAGAACGCACAGACACCAGCAAGATACGACCAGAATTCTCCCTATGCATTTACCATAAGCCATGTGCCCAATGTTGGAGGAGAATACTAAAAGTGCCATGGACTGCCAAAAGAACCAACAGATCTGTATGGGAAGAAGTGCAGCCAGAGCACCCCCTGGAGGCCAGGATGGCTAAGCTTCGTCTCTCACACTTTGGACATATTGTCAGGAGGGACCAGTCACTGGAGAAGGATGTCATGCTGGGAAAGATGGAGGGTCAGAGAAAAAGAGGAAGACCCCTAACGAGATGGATTGGCCAGGTGGCAGCACTGATGGACTCAAGTGTGACAGCGGTAGTGAGGTTGGCCCAGGATCGGACACTGTTTCGTTCTGCTGTGCATGGGGTCGCTATGAGTCGGGTCCGACTCGATGGCACCTGACAACAACAATGTGCCCAAGAGCCCCAGCCAGGCCCATGGATGACAAGAGTCTAGGCACCACCAGAGTTCAGTTTAATCCAAATTTCACATTTCACCAACAAGGATCATGTGCCAGTCATGGAGATGTTGTTAAGTGTCATCAAGTCAATTCCAACCCACAGCGACTCTGTGTAGGGTTTTCGAGGAGCAGCTGGTGAGCTTGAACCACTAACCTTGCGGTTCAAATGGCTTTGCAGTCTGGTGCAATAATCCACAGCGCCACACCAGGATTCTATCAGGGAGACAGGTACAAGGAATTAAAAGAAACAAAGGAAAAGATGAAAATCCAGACCACCAGAGAAATAGGGAGTCCAAGAGTGGCACTGTGGGTTAATGCACTGGACTGCAAAGTCAGTTTGAACTGCAAAGTCGGTGGTTGAAGCTAACCACCGGCTGTTTGGAAACCGCATGCAGGGTTGCTATGGATCAGAACAGACTCAACGGCACTTCACAACAACAAAAAACAGGAGAGATACAAACTGACTACTAACTGCTCTAACTGGAATCAAATCCCATGAGACCCCTCCATAGCTTTGTGCCTACACTTCTCCGAGCCTCAGTTTCCTTGTCTGAACCATGAGGACCAAAACCCCTTCTTTTCCAGGGACCCGCTGACCTGGCCTGAAAGTCCACTCCCAGCAGCTGCAGTCAGTCACAGAACATCTGCCCCTGCAAAGAACTTCCCACAAAGGCTTGTTGGCAACTTTAATCCCCTGCTTCTCTTAAACCCACAATGGAGCTAACCACCAATAGTTATTTACCAGGAAAAAAGAAAACCAATGCTACCTAAGGCTAAGAGAAACGGCCGCTCACGGGTTGATCCAAACCACCAGAGCCCCAACTTCAGGGTTCAAATACTTCACCCTCTGCTAGGCATCTCCAGGTTGTACCAGGGACTCACTCAGGCCAGTATCTTAGTAAACAATGTGAGCGTCTCCGGCCAAGCAAAGCATTCCTGATCACAACACAAGTAAGACAGGCGTCGCTAACAAAGTGGCATCTCCTTTAAACAAACACTTGACCAAATTATTTCTAACCGGCACCAACACGGACCTCTTTCCCAGAAACTCTGGGCATCTGCACCGACTCCTCTGTTGTTTTTACAAGTCTCCCAGGCCCCAGACTCACGGCCCAGTTGACAAGGACACACCACCACACAACACAAAGAATGAAAGAGAACGGTTCCCACCATCTCTCTTCCAAGTTACTTTCCTCCGAGTTCAGCCCTTCAGTTTGGGGACTCCAACAGAAAAAGAAAAGGAGAAAACCTTTATTATGCAAAGTAGGGGAAGAAAAGAAGAAATAATGGGAACAGAACTGGGTCTTATCCAGGAACTCTGAATGCAGTGACAGGGAGCCGGTAAAAGAAGCTCTGAGTTCAAAAGAGAAGGGGCATTGATGGCCCAAAGAAGGCTCTAAAGTGGGCTACGCCAATTCGGGAGTGGGGGACAGACAGCTTTAAGACTCTCTGACATGCCCCCAATGAACCCATCTCTCCTCCTCACCTCCTCCACTAGCTCCTATTTGTCATTCATCTTAGACTTTTCCTTTCTTTTTAGTCTATTATTCATTGAATCAAACCTATCCTGGACCTCACTCTGGAGAAAGGATGTTGTGATGAAGACAGATCTCACTCATATGCTAGGAAAATGTTTCCAATGTAGCAGAAAGGCAATCATGGAAATGAGAATGTCTAATCCCCACAGGATGGAGGAAACAGGCTGTTTCCTCCACATAGGGGGGACGCAAGAAGACAGGAGGCAGAGTTGGCCAGACAAGCTGGACCACATCAGGAAGTGCCTCTGAGGCCATGGAGGCCATCAAAGGAGCTGGGAATCTATATCACAGCAGTGCAGGTGAGAGATGACAGCCACGTGGAGACAGGAACAAGGGAGGATGAGAAGTGTGTACGGGGGCACCTAACAGAGAGGGCAGAATGGCTGTCTGTAGATCAGGAACGTCAGGTAATCAGGTTAAAACGGCTGATGGCTACATATTCTGTCCTTTACCACTGACTCTATTCCCAAGCCAGGGCATGATTAATATGTACTGGACGAGCCACAAAGAATGAAGACAGACCCAGCTTGGAAACCCACCAACATTTCAGCAGAAAACCACCACACACATAGTAAGGTAAGTTCAGTGAGGGAAAACGAGGAGAGAGAACAGTTTGCCACATTCCCTGAGCACAAGAGACCAAGTTCATGACGGCCCCAGTTGTCCCCAGAGGTCACTGTTGTCCCCAGCTGCTGAGACTGCCCTGCGCCCCAGTCTCTTGCTCTGGACTCTACCCCAGGATTCTGACCAAAACCCTCGTAAACTCCCTGTTACACACTGAAGTATGACCTGCCCACCCCACTCCCCAAAAAAATCAGACATGCTAAAACCCTAACCCTTGTACCTGAGGACGGAACTTTGCTTGCAAAGAAAGTCTTTGTTACATGCCATTCATTAACATGATGTCAAATCACAAACAGATGCGTCCTGATCCCATGTGCCTGACGTCCTTATTAAATGAGAAGACATACAGACAGGTTACAATGTAGAGACAGAGGCAGCGACTGGAGGTAAGCTGCAACAAACCCAAGACCACATGGGGTCAGCAGAAACTGGAACAGGCAGGGATTCCTCCCTGGGAGCCTTCAGAGAGAGCATGGCCCTGTGGTCACCTGGATGGTCTATCCTGCAGAGCTGTGTGAGAGTCCTTCTCTGTTGCCGCATTTTGCCCCTCCCTGTCACAGCTCTCTGCTCCTAGGGACCTTACAACCTTCCAGGACACTGCAGAGGTCTCTGTTGACCCAAAGCCACGAAGTTGCTCCTGGTCTGAACAGAGCTATGTGGAAAAACAGACTTTGCTGCCACAGTTTAAGTTTCGGAGGAGACCTGGGTGTGACCTGGCACACAGTAGTTGTTCAATAATGTGAGTTCTTCTTAGAAGTTGCTATTGTGCATCCTCAGAGGCAGGCCTAGGAGCTACGTTGAGAAAAACAAAATCAAAAATTGGTTCTGACTCATATCAACCCCACCCGACCGAGGAGAACTGCCCCCACACGATTTCTGAGGCCGCACATCTTTCTCCCAAGAACAACTAGTGGATTTGAACTGATGACTCTGCAGTTAGCAGCCCAATCCTTATTAACTCACTGTGGCGTCAGGGTTCCTTGCTGTGGAAGGATTGTGCTAAAAGAATCCCTGTAAATGAACACGGTGAATTTCTAGTCCTGTGGACCACTGCAGGGCACATAGGAAGATGCTGCCGCCCTCTCAGAACACTCCTCACTTCAAACATGACGTCCACTCAAGCTGGAGCGGGTCAGAGCAGCCATTGGACAGCAGTGAGCCTCACTGCAAAACCAGGGTGGATGGACATCAGGTATAGCCTCGGCCCTGCCCAGCTGAGTCATGTTCCCCCCCTTCTCATTCCACAGCAAACCAAGCTCACCCACCCCATCAGCAAGCGCACCCTCCAAAATCCCCCCATTCATCCAGGTTAGAGGAAACCTGCCTGCAAGGGAACCCTTCCCACCTCCCATTTGCTAGCAGACAGATGTAAAATGAATTTGCTGCGTAGGCTCCACCTGGTGTTCCACTTTTGTGAAAATGCACCGTGTGTGCCAAGCTCTGTACAAGTACAGGTGGTATTCATATCACTTCTTTAATGTAACTGGCCAGCTCATCTTTACAGCTGCCAAGTTAAGGTTCCGAGATCTCCTTAACAACAACCCCTCCAGTATCAGGGACCCATTATACAGCAGGCCCTAGTGACACATCAGCGAAATCACACAGCCAGCTACATGGAATTGTTCGGGGCAGCTGAGCGGGCAAGCTAGCCTCTCTGAGTCTTGACTTCCTCCTGTAAATGAAAGAACATCTGCGTGTTTTAATCATTCGAACGGGACCGTGCAGCTAGTAAGAAATCAACTGTTAGCTTTTATCAGCATCATAACGAATTACAGAATTTTACTATTTTATACTCCATGCAAATTGCGTGTCGTATACGTTATATAATTACATGTTTTATTTTATAGTATATATAATTATACAAACGCTACACATTCTTCTAACCTTGTCGTTAGGTGCCGTCGAGTCAGTTCTGACTCATAGTGAGCGACCCAATGTACACC